GTACGAGAGAGAGAGACAGGGGGTGGGATGGTAGAGAGAGAGAGAGAGTGGTTGAAGAGTAAAGTAAGGGCATGGAAGGTAGCTGATGGGTGCTAGGAAAAAGGAGACTGAACGAGGGACATCGGAGGTCAAGGGGAAAGACGGGAGTGGATGAAGTGGGAGTTTTGGATCCTACAAGATCGGGCGCTCTCCTAATTATAAACACAGGTCTACTGATAAAAATTTATTACATAAATCTATGCTGAGATACCCCCTAACCATATTAAATGCATATTCTTCATGAAATATAACTCCTCTGGTGAGATATTTCGCATACGCTTACATACTAACGTAGCCAGTTTGCGTACTGACTGGTGTATGCAGCGGGCACCTTTCATGCAAGGTTTTCGTCATATTTCTTAAGAGGGGTCCACTGATGGAATGTTACCATATAAATCTATGCTAGAATACCTTCTCTCTATCTTAAATGCATAATCTTCTCAAAATTTTATTCTTCTTGAGAGATATTGCGCATGCGCGAGCACCGTTTTAGGGGTGCAGTAAGGAGTGAAGGCAACTGCATAATATAGGTTACTGGGTGAGAGAGAGAGAGAGAGAGAGAGAGAGAGAGAGAGAGAGAGAGAGAGAGAGAGAGAGAGAGAGGTGGGAGACTATGGAAAGGCGGCAGGAAAGATAGCTGAAGGGCGGTAGAAAAAAAGGAGGCTGAGCGAGAGACATCTGAGGTCAAGGGGGAAGGACGGGAGTAAATGAAGTAGGAGTTTTTTACCCTACAAGCGAGAGCGCTCTCCTAATTATAAACGCAGGTCTACTGATAAAAATTTATTACATAAATCTATGCTGAGATACCCCCTAATCATATTAAATGCATATTCTTCATAAAATATAACTTCTGGTGAAATATTTCGCATGCGCTTACATACTATCGTAGCAGGATTGTGTACTGACTGATATATGCAGCGGGCACCTTACATGCAGGATCTTCGTTCTATTTCTTAAGAGCGGTCTACTGATGGAATGTTATCATATAAATCTATGCTAGAATACCTCCTCCCTATCTTAAATGCATAATCTTCTCAACATTTCATTTTTCTTGGGAGATATTGCGCATGCGCGAGCACCGTTTTAGGCATGCAGTACGGACTGCAGGCAACTGCATAATATAGGTTACAAAGTGAGCGAAAGAGAGAGAGAGAGAGAGAGAGAAAGAAAGAAAGAGAGAGTGGTGGGAGACTATGGAAAGGCGGCATGGAAGATAGCTAAAGGGCGGTAGGAAAAAAGGAGGCTGAGCGAGGGACATCTGAGGTCAAGGGGAAGGACGGGAGTATATGAAGTACGAGTTTTGCACCCTACTAACTAGCGCGCTCTCCTAGTTATAAACGCAGGTCTACTGATACAAATTTATTACATAAATCTATGCTGAGATACCCCCTAACCATATTAAATGCATATTCTTAATAAAATATAACTCTGCTGGTGAAATATTTCGCATGCGTTTACATACTATCGTAGCAAGATTGTGTACTGGCTGATATATGCAGAGGGCACTTCACATGCAGGAACTTCGTTCTATTTCTTAAGAACTATCTACTGATGGAATGTTATTATATAAATCTATGCTAGAATACCTCCTCCCTATCTTAAATGCATAGCATAATCTTCTCAACATTTCATTCTTCTTGGGAGATATTGCGCATGCACGAACACCGTTTTAGGCGTGCCGTACGGACTGAAGGCAACTGCATAATATAGGTTACCGAGTGTGCGAGAGAGAGAGAGAGAGAGAGAGAGAGAGAGAGAGAGAGAGAGAGAGAGAGAGAGAGAGAGAGAGAGAGAG